CGATTGCTCAATTTTCCAACCAAGTTACACTGTTTCAAATTAAATGCAACATAATTTGAGGGCATTGTGGTTTGGACGGTTGAATATATAACTTTCTTGAGTTTTTTGTAAATGGGTGAGGTGTTTAAAAATGTCATTGTAAAATGTAGAAAGAAAAAAATTCCTCAAATTTTTAAAGGCATTTCTTAGCTGGCCATTTAATTTACAAAATGGTACTTTTTAGGCCTTGAAATCATGGCAACCCAAGAAAAGACACACTTGTGGGTCAATAATAGCGCAGTATTTACAATCCGACTGAGAACTCACATTAGAGACCAGTATCCAGAAATGGCGAAAGAATCTTCGTGTTATTTGTATTTATGTTCCACATATTATGTGCTTCTTATTATAGTTGTAAGGTTAATTACATTTTTTGTCACAAAAGATATTATGAAGAATAGGACCCAGAAAAGACAGTAATATAAATTTTAACAATAAGGGGTCAAATACAAAATTTGGTTTCTACCTACTTACATAAGGTCTTACTAAGATCTTAGAAGATGAATAATGAGTGATCTAGTTTACTTACAAATACAAATCTACGACAAAAGTTCATAGAACATGCTGTTTAAGCATTTCTCATTTTTTTGTGAAATTATTTCCTCAGAAAATGATACTCTCTAGTTTCAACCAAAAATGCTGATGTAAATTTGGGTCATTGAATTTTTAGTGTTGTTCATGAATTTGAGTCTTAGTACGCTTTAAATTTGTTAGGAAAATTTGACTACTTGTCTGTTGGTTTTTGTATTAGCGTGGGCAGAAAATCTTTGGAACTGGTGAGGATTGAAAAATGTAACTATTATTATTATATATTAGGACGCTCATCGAATTTTTCATATGCATGTTTTCGAAGATATCACACACTATATATATATATATATATATATATATATATATCATTCCCCACCGTATATTGCCCTTGAGAGATAGTAATATCTATATCAGCAAGTAAAACTGTAGCATAGAATAGAATAGAATAATGTTTAATAAGAATCAATAAATAATGTTGGAGTTGAAAAACCTTAATTATCTTGCTAAAGTGAATTTTCAATTTAAATAAAATTGGTCTTCAACATTTGAAAATAATATATCGCTGTCTTTGGAGCGACAGATACCTAATTGACAACATAAAAATTAATTTACATATCGAGGCAGTAATGCATTACTCACTCTGTCAAAAAGGCGATAGTGCAGAGCGAAGAGAGAATGAAATAGACTAGCACATGCATATTTATTTTTCATGCAATTTTCTCACTAGTAATTTTTTTCAGGGTTAATTGCAGAATCTGTTTCGATGGTTATATGGCTAAAAGGGCGTATGATGAAGCTCAGAAATTGTGGAAAAGGCAGCGTAAAGTAAATGCGTGTTTGAACTTAAAATGAAAATTATTGTCGAAGAGTTTTCAGTTCTCTTCCACCAGTCGCACTGATGTAAGTTACAACAATAATCTAAAAGGATTTTTTCAAATGTCATCAATTGAAGAAACATTTTTTTGCCATTTATTTTATATTTTTCTTTCAGGCTTACATCAAAGAAAGAAAAACAAACGCACAGGACAAGAATAATGCACTACTAACAAATTGCTCAGTCCGTAAAATTCTTTTGTGTGGAGACTCTTTGACATGTTCTTTTTGTTGGTTAGTAAAAAATTGTCGCTAGCTGAATATGATGTGTTTTAACAATATAAAATGGTTTTTACTAATTTTAAAAACATTTCAAGGATGAGTGTGGCATTTGTATTTGCTGGCATGAACCTTGAATTTCTACCTCAATGGGCCTTGGTAACAAATATTTAAATTATATGCCTCAAACTGGACTCATTGGGAAATGCGGGTCTCCAACTTCTTACATATTTATCGGAAATGAATAGATTTGGAAGAAAGAAAACACTGTGTTCATCTCTCCTTGCTAGTGGCCTTTGCTGTTTCTTGTTCATTGGAATTCCTGGAGGTAAGCAAGAGTTATAGAAGGAAGAGAAAGCAAGGATTTTTATCTACAATCATGGCCTATTTTTATAAAACCAAATTAATTGAAATAGAAGGAAAAATTTTCTTTGCACTTTATCAGTTCAAATAAAAAATTACATATTCTATTGAAAATTATCAATACTTATCTTTTCATTGGAAACTAATATAAGCAATAATTCTATTAATTTTAATATATTATTAAGATTTAGTGTTTTTACTACAAATGGATCAATAACAGCAAGTGATAACATATCTAGAACCCAATGCCAATCATTTAAAAAAAAAATATTGAAATTTGATTGAGGAGAAAGCTCAATTTTCTAAATGAAAACCCTTAGTGTTTTAAGTATGTAGATAATAGTAAAAATAGGTACATTATGTTTCTATAACATTTTGTTGATGTTGTTAAATACTTTTACAGATTGGATATGGCTGCGAATTGCTTTATACCTGTTTGGAAAATTCAACATTACAATATCCTTTGATGTATTGTACATATTTGCTGTTGAACTGTTTCCTACTGAACTAAGACAAACTTGCTTGGCTGCATGCTCTGTACTTGGAGGCATGGGACAGATTCTTGCACCTCAACTGCCTTTATTGGTAAATTAATTTTTCTTATCTGTTTATAAGTTCAGAAATTTAAGTTATGGATATTCAGGATTTGAAAATCCACTTTTCATATAAATTACATTCTGTACTCTTCTTTCAGTCTAACTACATGGAATCATTACCTCTGATATTATTTGGAAGCATGTCTGTTGCATCCGGAATTCTTGCCCTACTACTTCCAGAAACTCAAGGTACTAAACTTCCAGACACAGTAGAAGAAGCAGAGAACATCAGCTTGAAGAGAAGACAAATAAAACAAGATGCTCTTGCTCAAGTCGAAAGTGAAGGATTGAAAAATTCAACTCATTAATAATTAGATAAATTAGATAATTATTTTATACAATAAATTTTCATTATATGTTTAATATAATCATATGTTCCAGTTTGAGTGTGATAGTATCCTCAGCTATCTCACTTTCACTGAAAGGAAAACTTCATTTGTTCTACATCTCAGTAAAAAATTATAATTTTAACATTAAATATTGTAGAAGTTATAAACAAGTGAAATGTTAAAAATATAACTTTTCTTTACACAACAACAAAATAATTGACATCCAGATTTCTTCTGCATTGAAATATGTAAGTCACTTGCAGCAGTGCTCATGGCACTGCCACAAAATTATGGACTCTCTTCCATGAAGCATAAGATAAATATTGGGTTTTTCCTAATAATGGTGGAATGAAACAATGAAGTATAATTCCTGCCAACTACAAGAAGTGCAATTGTCAATGCTGCTTTCCAGTTCAGATTCACCCAATATTGTATATATTAACAGATTGACTGAAATGAATGTATAAATCATGTCTATAAAGCTAATACATGAAAATGGTACTTCAATGGCCTTAAAAAAGTGATATTTCAATGCCTTTCATCTCACATTGCCTTCTGTAACTAATAAACTAATGTAGCATGAATATCAAACATTGTAATTGCAAGAACAAAGAAATGTCAGATTTATTATGTTTCACATTTAATACATGTAATGTATCTTTTGATCTAAGGAAATGGAAAGTATTTTTGGATTTCAAGGAAATATGACTACCTTTAGTTAGTGATGGTGTATAAAAGCCCACCAAAGTATTAATCATTGCTCCATTTCTCACTTATTCACTTAGAAAAAATTATTTGCATATTATAATGTATTATGGAAAAGTACAATATTTATTCTTATAGTTGATCATGAATTCAAAGAACAGAGAAGAACTTTTAAAACAATAGTAGCATCTCAATTAATCTATGCTTGCCAAGAAACGATTAGTTACTGAAGAATGTGAAGTTAAACTTTTCATTAAAATACATTCTCATATTATTTCACAATCTAGATTAATTATTATAGTGTTTAATTTAAGATTATTCAATGAAAAATCTGAAGTGGATGACATTGAATTTGAGAATGATTTGAGTATTTGTGCAAACTACCGTGCCTTTTTTAAGAAAGACTGTATTGTGTGTGCATATTATTATTATTATTTTCTTTTTTTGTTTCATTTCTGTATTCTTTGAAGGTTGAAGAATGGAACAGTAATTATTCCCAGAATGTTACCTGCCTTAAAGGGTAAATTAAAGCAAAGACAAGTTACCCTTTTCAGTCCTGCAGCTTTTTGAGAAATATTACCATTAAAGATGAAATGACCAAGTAGTTACTTACCTCTTCTAACAATAAAGGAATATTTTATTTTTAAAGAGTCAGAAATGAAAACAGTCACTGAATAGAAATATTGTTCTGTAGGAAAGTACAAATGACATTGTACATATTAGATGGAGTTATTAGTAAAGCAATTGCTATATTTTGCTTTGCAAAATGAATTTTAAGTGACCTGAATCTTTAATAATAATACTGTTGTTTATAAACAGTCTCTTTGTATAATTTTAAATGGTATTTATATGCTTGTGAAAATGGTGTATCACCATTTGAAGAATAACATTGTCATCAACTTTTGTAGCAGAATTCATTTATTAAATTTATTTACTTGTGTTTTTGTAGTTTTTTCATTGTCCATTCCTCTATTTTATGGAACATAACTCAGAATTATTCTTGACATCTGCTTCTTTGAGCAAAAAGGGTAATGGGATAAGATAATGAAAATGACCCCATGGTGCCCACGTTTTCAAAGCTGATAAGCCTGTTCAGAAAATTAAAACTAATAGTGCTACAAGAGCACTTTCTCTCTCACATATGCAATTTTAAAATATTCAGGAGATACAATGAAAATGAGACCTCGCAATTTTTTAAAGTTTCCTTTACTCTATTCAAGGAAAAAATATCAAGACAAGGATGTACAAATTCATTGTTTCATAAATTGGCTAATCTGATCAGAAATAGGTTCAGACTCTATATTGCAAATTTAGTCCTCATTGTTACAAACAGACACAAACAAACCTACCTTCTAAACCATCTAAGTAAGAAAGTATGGAGGCGGCAATTTTGAAATCATTGACAAACTTTCCGATTTTATTTCGTATAGATTCATCCTTAACAATAATGAGAGACTTAACGTCGATAGTAGTAACTCATTTTGCACAAAAGATTTTCATAGATTTCTTATGTTCTAGCCTAAAACCTAGGGTTCCCTAAACCTAAGTTGCCTAATGTTATTGTCATTATTTATAAATTCTTCCGTGATTGCACTTATTATTACACTTGCGCTCGTTCACTATCACTATCACCAGTTTCACTTAGAGTCCCCGCCACAGCACTCCATATTCACGCTTCGCTTAAGTCACTGAAGTGTCACAATCAATTTCACACACATACACACGGTTGCCTGTGTGTGTGTGTGTGTGTGTGTGTTTTCCGGCAGAGGCGACTTCTGCTCCGCCACCACAATGACGTTGTTTCCAGCGCTGCCCCCCCTCCTCGTAGAGTATCAGGCATTATGGTAAGGTACAGACAGGCGCAGAGTTGTCAATGTTTTAGACCGCCTGCGCCCAACAGGGAAGAGATCATCCTGGGAGGTGTGGTGGTTGTAGCAGGCAGCGCTTCTCGCAATGGTCTTGGCGACAATGTGTTCCCGCGGAACACGTGTCTTGTCGCCAGAGGTGAATCTGTGGAGCAGGGTCGCACTCTCCCAGGACGCCTCGCACGATTTCCGAAAGATCAACTCTTGGAAATTCCTGGCGGCCAGGAAGGGGTGAATGTGTTGGTATTTTAGTATCTTCTCGTCGAATCATTTTTCTAAACACCCCGGGTAAACGACGCCTACTGAGCCGTGATAAAAGCGTTAGAGGAGTTACTCTAATAACGGACCACTTTGACAGGTCGAGAAACAAATGAACAGCATGCAGGCTCGATGACAATACAAGAGGTAGTAATGAACCCATTTACAAATAAGCTGATACAAATGCACTGTCCAAATGAGTGCATGGCCATAACCTGCTGTGATGTTGCCACCCGTGGCCAAGCAGTAGCTGTCAAAGCGATCCCTTCTTCAAGTAAAACTTTATTTCACGTTCGCTTTGTGCCACTTTCTTAGCACCAGGTCCGTGCTCGTCCGCCCCGTGACCGCCTGGCCTTCGTACAGCCCAGACCACTCACTCGATTATGCGGCCCCTTCGACAAGGCGAAGCACTCCGTTGTGCCGTAGCCGCCACATCGGGAGTGCAAGACGCGCTCCGATATGACGTAGCAATCGTTTCTCGTGACTGGTCGTGAGGTTACCTTGACGCCTAGAACCGAGGCGACAGGTGCGTTGTTCTCCGGACTAAAAGACAAATCTAGGCGGAACCTGACACCCTCCCCAACATTTCATTGTCGACCCTTTGTAAACAGTTAATTTGATAATCGATGTTGAAGAAATGAGATTTGAGAGCAGGTTTATCATGGTGGTTCACGTTGCTACTGTCCGAGAGATGCCTTTAAAGGAAGTGTTGCGCGAGTGAGATGGCCGCCGCTCGATGAAATAAACGATCTTATTTTTCAATGAAAGGCGATAGCCAAATTCTGTGATATGGGACGTGTTCAGTCAATTAAATACTTGTCTCCAGCAGTAATATATCTTAAATTCGTCGCTTCTCGTGGCGTAAAACAACCTGTGCTAAAATTTAATTCCCGGCTTTAAAGTACATTTTCAACTACATTAATTAACCAGCATGTGAAAAATTTACCATTACCTGCATTTGAATTGCATAGTCTTTCTCGTATTAAAACTTACTAATATCCTTGGTGTGGGCCATCTTTACGGTCTTGCCCCATCCTCTCGACTGTTGTCATCTATCGCCGCCCCAATTTTTTTACTTGAAAGTTTCTCAATTTTTCGTTCCTTAATGGTAGAAGTATTAGCTTGAAGTATTATTTTAAAGCTGTTAAAGAAGAGCAAAACCTTGTCCTAAATGGAAATTTTCGTTGAAAAAACTGATTTTTAAGAAAAAAATAGTTTAAGCTCTTGTGTGAATGCGAAATTTGAAGCTCTTTTTCACAGGAATCTTTTGCGTTTTTGAAAAACTTAATTTGAAGCCATTTGAAGAACTTTTACTCATAAATGAAATAATGTATACAAATCGCTGGGAATGTCCATATTAACGGCGTGAACTATATTTTAAAAATTACATTAGTGTAATTAAAAAATGAATGTAGGAAAATTAATTCTGTGTCATCTTCTGTGCAATAAGCACAATCCGTACGAAAAGGCTGAAAGAAAAAAATTGGAGCTGTTTTTGGAAAATGCCGAATTTTGAGCTCCTTTCCGCAGAAAACTATTGAGTTTTCAAGAAACTTCATTAGACATCATTTAAAGCACACCCTCGTGCAGGACCAAGTTCCTACTGCTTAAGTGAACACAGACGTGTATCATTGAGTCTATAGGAGATTCGTGAGCTGTGCTGTGAACTGTCTTCAGTTGTTTCTTCGCGGCGTCCACCGCCCAAATGACCGCTTCCGTAAGAACACGACGCCTCCCTCCTCAGATACGCCGTCGATACTATTTATTACTAGAACACTTGAGTTCTGACAATATTTAATACTAAACTGATTATAGTTGTTAATAAACTTTGGCTTTAGATAATCAAAGTGGTTAAAATGAACGTTTTCGCAATTGTACGCCTGATGTGTAGGCAACCCGCAAAGCTTCCTTGTAAGGCAGCTCTCAAAGGGGCTTTGGAACCAAAATAAAATGAAAACAAAATATTTTCGAAGACCCGATGCAAGTAAATGTTTTTGTTTAATAGTATATTAGTTCTTAATTATCTCTAAATTTTATTTAGTTTCTCTGCTCAATCTGAGTTCGTTTCCAAAATAAGGTGCTTCTACTAATAGACAAACTAAAATTCCCCCAAAACAAAACCAATTCTGTTATTCTTGCAGCACTAAATACGCACTAAATATGTGTATAGGTTTGATCTTATTCTGACTTGGCCTGCTAGCTGCAAGTAGCTGTTTTTGCGACACAATGGCACTCACATGCAAATGGAGCCTCAACTCTGTGGTTACCAATTTTTTACGACTCTCAGGGCCCAAGCGGAGTACTTTTTGGCGAATTTGGAAAGGAAAGAATGGATTGGACACTTAATTGTTCTCTACACGTATTGCAATCCTGGGTAGTTAACTTGTAAAATTTTCTTCTTAGAAAATCTATGATACGGTACTAAAAACAATGTAATTGGAAAGCGTGAGAAACAAAGAATATTTTTAAAAATTCACAGGAAAATTTGCATTAGTGCACCATTACATTGAATGTAAACTGCCTTGGTCTTTCCCTTATGAATTAAATAAATTCCAAAATAAAAGATTAAAATTAAGTTTTCCAAAAACAAGGATAGGCATTTTCACCCATTTAAATTTTCAAATAAAATGAAATAAAACATTTCTGTTGGAACTGTACGCGCATATGTATATATATGACTTTCAAATTTCTTTTCAAGAAAAATCTACAACCGCTTACTTTCTTATATTACCTGAAAATTTCAACATTACAGTTATTATAAGGTGTACAATATTACAATAAGGTGTTGAACTTTGCTTCCACTGTTTTTAAGGCATTATTGTAAACAATTGGTTTAAATTTACTGTTCAAAATGTTGTCCATCGCTGACCTCTTCTTTCTTCCATCTTTCAGAGAGCGAATGAGGCCCTTGACGAAAAAACTGCTAATCTTTTGACACGATCCACCTATCACGTATAATGAAAATCGGTCTTACACCAAAAAAGAAATAAAATATTTGGGTCATTTTGCGAAATGTTTAAAAACTTTCTACGCGTTTCATGTGAAGTACGTCCGAACATTAAAAGGTGATTAAAATTGTCCAGAACTTCGACCAGATCAATCACAAAAATATTCATTTTGTGGAACATCCTATGTACGGTTCGCAGGCTAGTTTTGTCCACAGACAGACGGAGGGGCAGATTTTTAAAACATAGGATAGGAAAAACGTGCTAAACGTGGTTTGCTGAGTGGCAAAATGTGTTTTCGGACGAGTCCAGCTTCAACATCAGGGAAGTTTTAGAGCCCGCGATACTGCCCTTCCTGCAAAGCAGCTCCACATATTTCATCAGGACAATGCTCGACCATATGTAGAGAGGAATGTGCGAGTTTTCTGCAAAGAACGACGAGTACCACTGCGTCCCTGGCCTGCACGTTTGCCTGACGTGTGTGTCGGCAACTTCTTCGTTCTGGTCCTCCTTCAGCCATGTCAATGCTTTGTGGCAAGACCGCGTGGCAGTGGGTTCTCCCACTTCTACACACCGAATAAAATACTACAAATGCCAGGTACAGCTCTGTAATTCGAATCATTTGTGTATTGTGATATTTCTAATCTGTGGAATAAGTTTAATCGTAATAGTATGTCTCCTTATAACACGAGTAAGGTCCAGGATTTATAATAGTTTATCTCCTTCTTGGTGTTGCAATTTTCACAAATACTAGTGTAATTAATAAGAGGGCGGATTTTAATGAAATGTTGATTTCTTCTTTTCACTTTAGAACGATGTCTTCTAGTAAAGAAATTCATTTTAGGTTATGATAAAAGGAAACGACCCATTTTATATGACTTTTTTGTAATTAATTCCTATGTCGACTAATAAGTCATTTTAAAACCATTTTGCGCTGATTTCAACGAAAGTACATTTTTACACGAATCGTTTTTGCGTAATTTGTGCTTGAAATTAATTAAATTTACAAAAAACAATTTCTCAAAAACCGTTCCAATTTTTGTTCTTGAAATGTTTTCTACGGATTAAACTAGGAGCACTTACAAGAATAGCGCAGGTCTCATTATCGTTGAACTTTCTGAATTTTCAAAAATTACAAATTTAGAAATAACGCGAGGCAGTATATGCTGTTGTAGCTCCACTAGTTAATTTGCCTTACTTCTTAAGAAGAGAAAGAATGATAATCGTGACACGATCGTCACACTACATTTTCTAGTTTCTTTCTTTCTTTTTTTTCCCCTTTTCAATAATGGCTTTAATTTTGTGGATTAAACATTGTCCTGCGATAGCGTAAACGACGCTTAAAAGAATCGCGCAGAACTCGTTATTGTTGAAATCCTTAGTTTCTCGACAATTGCAAAATGCCAAGTTTTTTCGGCATCTTCCTACAATTACAATATATTGAAGACAGAGATTTTTCTTCAATGATATCTGTTCTTCAAAGACTCGTCTTCAAATAACATCGTGTATATTTTTTCGAAAATATGAGTAGTTTTCGCGTAATTTTGAGTAAAATATAATCAATTTTTGTTTAACTATTATTTTCTAAAAAACGGCTTCAATTTTATATTTCCTCGTCGTATGTAGCATGGTAACGCGGTAAGATGATCTGATGTTAGTTTCATTTTCGGCAAACTCTCTGTACTTTTGAAAACTGCAAAAAGCTAACATTGCAAAAGTACAATAATAAAAATTGATAATTTTGACTAAAATGACATGTTCAGTCTAAAGTGACATAAATCAGATATTTAAAAAAAGTAATTCTCGATTTTTGAAGAAAACAATACAGTAGTTTTTGCGCAATTTATGATGAGGGTTCTCTTCTGGCTCAAAACATTTCACATCTCATGACTTAAGTTTATTGGGTGAGCCTCTTGTTGATTGGGACGCAACTAATTTTTCCACGTCCAGGCTACATCGTGGTCACCGTACGGCTACTTACATAGGCGTCAGGAAGGGTATACACAATATTCACAGAATCAATTAGCTTTGTGGTTACTTTCGTTATCTGTGTTTGATCCACTAATATTTTGGTAATATCAAGATTTTATTTGTAAAAGCCAAACGCAAATTCACGCAGCTCACCAAAATCGACTGTTTACTTCTGTTCCCAGGGTTACCAATTTTTGTATGTTAATTATTGGCCATGTTAAAAAGGCCCCAAATGACACGCTTGCCACCGGCTTAGGAGAACTGGACATCAGCTGATGTCACTGCAGTGTCTCTGACCTGAAGGGACTGAGGTTCGAATCCTGACGGTGACAGGATTTTCGATATTAGCAAGACAGCTGGGTCGAATTCAGCGGAGATTTACAGCGGCCGGCTGCTCTAATCGGTAGTTTTCCGTGTTTCTTTCGATCAACACAAGGCGAAAGCCAGGGCAGTACCCTAAAAAGCGGGCTACAGAGCGCGCGCGATCTTTCCTTCCTCTTCCTTGGCCTTTCCTGCCCCTTACACACACACACACATGCATGCACAAGTTTACCACACATGTCAAGAGCTTAGAGTTTGTCCCGACTGGGGGGGGGGCACACTGGTGGGAGATACCTGGTTGGAGAAACTCCCCGCAAGTCGCCGATCCGTCGCCGACAGATCCCGCCAGCCAGCGGGGAAAGAACACCACCACCTTCCACGATAAAAATGCACTACTCTTACGGGACTAATGACCTTAGAAGTTTACCCGTCCGGAACCACCAATCAAAAGAGCCTGCCACCCAACACTTTCCCGACAAAAATCATTCCAGACATCTCTACATTGGGACTTTTATTACAATGATATTTTATTATATTACGATGACATTTTGTACAATGATAATGAGAAGCTTACAGCAACCAACATCAATCTTTTTAAAACTCTAAACCCTTTCGAGCATCTGCGCATGATTAACTCGAGTACGTAATAACATAAAATTGTATTAATTAACACATCTCAGCATATTGAACATTCTTTCACACATAGGTCATCAAGGGTAAAAAGTAATTAAATCGAATTTTCATTATAATTTTTTTCAGTTAGTTTTGTAAATTTGAATTGTAAATCTCAAGGTGCTAAGGCAGAGCCTAAAAAGTAACGGAGGATTACTTCAAATAATCATTTAGCACTCAACGCCCAATGAGGGTTACAAAATGTGTTCCATCATTACAAACATTAATAACCACCATCTCGATCAGTTTTGTCCAGTTTCTCTGATCCATTGAGCAATGCTGAGATGCCCTTGTTTTGCTTTTGGACGAAATGTAGCTTCCAATATCAACACGTTTTGTTGAACCTCCTCTTGCTTGTAATGGTAAGAGTAGAAGAAGGCAGAGATGCTATTTGTTAGAATGCAAAGAAAATCATACTTGCAATAATAATAATAATAATAATAATTAAAATTAATAAATAATAAAATAATAATAATAATAATATAATAATAATAATAGAATAATAAAATACGTAATTAGTAATAGTAATAAATAATAATATATAATAATAATCAATAATATATAATATAATAAAATAAAATAATAATAAATTAAAAATAAACAAGAAATTTAATAACCTACAATGGAAAATCAGGCTTTAAGATAATTCAGAAGGTTAGTGTGAAAGAGTAACTTGATGGAAAGGGTTCAAATAATACAACAGGAGGAGGCTGAACGAGGGTTAAACTTGGCAGAAAGATCCTGTTATATACAACTCTTAACTGTTTAACCCACATTCAAGAAAAAAGTAAATAAAACAATGTTTCCAATTATTTGTATATTTAGACCAATTTATGCCAGGCTGGAATCACAAAACAATTTTGTCCAATATCTCTTCTTTCAATCACCAGAAGTTATTGACAAAAACTCATTGTAGGTACATACATTAATTCTCCTCTTTGGGAAGATGACAAATATGACAAGAAGACTACTCTCCTTTTCAAATACGACAAATTTCACAATGAAACATTTTCAAAACACATAGAAAATTATTTTGTAACATCACACTTATTTAAAGAAATTTCTTTGGCACTTTTTTTGTATGATCTCATGACTGTACCCTGCATACTACACATTTTCAATGAAGACATGGAAGAATTATGACTAGGCAATGACAAATACCTTCTATCTATCAAATCATCATCACACTAGAAATATGAATAGTATTCATACTAATTTTCAGGATCAAATAACCCGCATTTGAAATGCTGCCATGAATTAATTTGTCTTTTGTGATATGTTATTTTTTGTAATAACATAAACAAAAGATTCATAAATAAATTTTCATTTGGGTGTATCTTTTAGAATCAGTACATTTACATCGGGCAAATCTGAGAAAAGAATAAACAAAAACTCAAAGGATAAAATGTTCATCCTTGTGTGTTGGAAAAAGAGACACAAAGAATCTACAGAATCTCTTTAGGCCCTGACAATACTGCACACAATATCCATTTCTATATCTAAAAATATTGACAAGACAGTGTAAGCCAGTACACTGTATTGTTACCAGTAAAAGAAACAAAACATCACCATAATAATTATGGTATATGTTCTTATATAATGTCATAAAATACTCTGTTTATCACATATCATTAGGTGTAATGTGTACATTTTTAACAAATTATTGCAATAACAAATGATTATATAACAACTGACATGATCAACATGCACAACCAACTGGAAGTTTGAGTGTTTTGAAACTAATTCCTAAGGAGGAAGACAAGACATTTCTTGTATTGAAGTGTCTTATAATCTTTCAAAATGGAATCTCTAACTAGAAATATCATATCTGAGTACTGTCATGTAAAAAATATTCCTCTAAAGCAAACTTACAATACTTATCATCAGGTAGGCAGTACATAAATTTTTCACTAAAAATTTTGTTCATTATATATTACTTTCAACAAAGTATCACTGTAAATAGATAGTCTATCTATAACCACAATAACTTCAAAAGTTGACAGTGTATATTTCTGAGTTTCACATTTTTACTAAAACTACCTTTCTCTGAATTTACATCTTTTTCAATTCCTACTCATACGAATAATGAGCAAGTGTTTTTGATTCAAAGAAATACGATCATATTTTAATATTGGACTTTTCTGTGCTTTTGAGTTTCACTACCGACTCTGTGGCTACATACGTAATGGTACTAGCAATTAGTTCAAGAGCAGTTACATTTTCATAAAATTGCAGTAGCAGTAAACTGACATGAAAGACAAGTTTGTACACATACTCAAAACGTTTCAGAATGTGTAGAATAGGCTGTCTATAACATTATTCCCCTACATACTAAAATGGACTAACCGCACACTTGTTTTTTCATATCTCAATAGATATTTTAGTGTAAGAAATACTTGTTTTTCAAAATTTTCAAACGCTCATCAGAAACATGAGAAGTGCTGGCAGAAGCTTGGTCGGCTCCAGGATCTGTCCAACAAAACCCATCAATTACTCCTCTAATCATAAAGCAGTGTTCCTGAAATCCTAATCCTTTCTGAAGGCCTTCTATCTTACTTAGAAATTATAGGGAAATTTCACAAACAGGAATTTATTACTACACTTCATTCACAAGCAAATACATGAAGATGATATCTAGAAAACTCAAAAACAGGAACTCTGTAGATATAAATATGATTTATCAATAAGATTTTAAATATATTTAGGAGAAATCTTTACCATTAATTCCTATATGGAAATGAAACACCATATGCTCTTGCCTCTCAAAAAGATGCTTACTGGTTCATTAAAATGAAACAAACAAATACATAAATCAATTAATAAAAATAGGTTTCTCACCTGAGTTGGCATGTTTGCGAATACTTTTCTCCAATTCTCGACGCAGCAAATGATTAATTGGCACTCCGGCTGGCCAATTATCTGAAATGGTGCCAGGAACAGAGACAGAATGTTGGGCAAGAGTGTGTGTTGGGTGAGGCAAATGATGCTGTGAACCTCCTTTTAAGTCTTTTTCTTTTCTAGAAACAGAGAAGGCAACATCCTCAAGAAACGAACAAACCTATTAGTACTGCATGAATCAAACATACTTAACACTATTTACTAAAACATTTCAATGGGATATGAAAGTATATTTTCACATTTAACTCTCACTTATATGAATTCCATTTTTATGCTCTTCCTAATTTATAATATTTATTCTAATACTCACGAGATGGGATATGGGGCCAGGTTAATACTATAAGACTTTTCAATCAATTTCTTACGGCGCATGTCATGTTTCTTGTCACATTCCCTGGAAAGCTTGTCACATTTCTGACGCAATTCAAGTTCTTTTTCCCCTTTCTCTTGCAGAGCAGTCTGAACTCTAGACAACTCAGAGAGTAATTTGAGCCGAGTATCTTGGAAATCCTGTCTGATCTGAGCGTCACTAGAATTTCTCATTTGTTCATACCGATTTTGTTCTTGCATCTGTAAAGAGAAGACCAAGCATTTTGGCTCATTATTGTAATAATAAAATTCTCTTTTATGAATAGCATAATGGGTGAGATGCATAAAAAACTATTTAAGCAATAATAATAATAATAATAATAATAATAATAATAATAATAATAATAATAATGATAATAATAACAATAACAAAAACAATAACAACAGAAACAACGATGACAATGACAGCAATGATAGCGATGAAATTAACACCACTGTTCATTCTAGTAATTCTAGAATCAATACCTGCCACATAATGAAAATGTTTTCCTCTCTGAAAGCACAAGTCAGATAATAAAAATACATGATTTCAATGTCCTCAAAATGTGATCTATTAAATTGTGAATATATTAAAAGTTCATTAATGATGCTAGATTGCTTTAAGGAATAATACAAGATATATAAGATATTATATCAAAAGGCAATTACAAACTTGAAAAATAAATCAGTAAATAATAAAATTAATAATGCTACAAATAACTACAGACAGTGGTGGAGTACACTAAGCCCACACTTAGGGTCCCTACTGCATTTAGGAACTTCAACATTTTTTATTGAAATTTTAGGTCAGTTGATAAATATGTAAAATTATTTTATTAAAGATGCAATAAATAACTTTGAAAAAGTCCATTGATTGTTACACTACATTTGTAAAAGATAAAATGGATGTTACAAATGTGAAAATCGCAATGTGTTTTTTCTACAAATTGCTCAGCAAAACATTTATTTGCATATAAACATTTATTATAACCTCATTTGAAAAGAAATGCAGGCAAGATGAATTTGACTAAATAATTAATAGAAATATGTTTTAATTCAACTAAGGCATCCAGTGAGAGAGCCTAGAATTGAGTGAGAGAGCTATGCCACAAAATTCAAAACATCTATTTATTGATGTATTCAATATGTTCATAATCGAATACATTCATAAATCGATATGTTGAATTTTGTGGGTTTGCTTCCTCTCTCACTGGATGTCTCAATTCTTTCCCTTAATGTGCAGAAAATCTTATGTTTCCTCACACAAGTTTTGATGATTTAATGCTTGAATTAAACTTGCATTAAATTTTATTATACAGGAAAGGATATCACTGAGAAGAATTCATTTTTTTGACCAAAGGTGGTACAGAAAAACAATTGCTTGCCAGACACACTACAACTTTGTATAATATTAGATTAAGTGTACATTATATTAGTATTTTCATTTCATAATACTCACTATTTTCCACTAAAATTTGAATTATAAAACACTGTCAATGAACAAAATTTACCTGCTTCTCTATAACTGTATTCAGATGATGGAGACGAGTACTAACATCATCACGTACCGCAGATTCAGCATCTTGCTTTGCTCTTTGTAAAGCTACTTCATAACTCCTCTTTAATTGTTCAAGTTCATAACGGGAGACAAATTCTTTTTCCATTTGACAACGAAGAGAATCTAAGTCTTTTTCCAACTGCAACTTTTCCTTTAAACAAGAAGAAAATAAAGATTATTGAAAGAGTTTATTCTGAAGACACAAAATTATTTTGAAGTCATATGATGCAAATGTTTTGTGGCTCTCTTCATGTAAGAAACCATTTCAATTCTTATTATTCTGAATTTATCCTGTATCTCAAAAAGAACAACTTAGAAATAATGCAATTTTTATGATTACAGTTTAGTTATGCTTCTATCCTGAAAAGGGTAATGAGGGTAAGTAAGTAAGAACAAATTGAAAACGAATGAATAAATAGAATTCACACCTATATCCAAGGCTTATAATCAAGAATCACATATATTCACAAATTTTAAAAATAAAATGTCTGAAGAGAAGAGTAGAACATCTTTTTCAAATGCATCACAAACAATACTACAATCTGTATTTTAAAAAATTTCAAGTCCCTTTTGTGCATAGTAGCATAGTTCTACAATACAGAAATACAATAAATGGAAGTAAATACAAAATGCTTGAATTAACATACAAAATGAATTGATGTAATAATTATAGAGTCTCTATTTTATAAGAGGCACATTTTTTTAATTTTATTATTTAATTTTAATTAACACATTATTTTTCACATACAATAAAATCTGCCTAAACTGGAATCTGTACAATTGGAAAATTTCTCTGGCCTGTTATATGGTATTTTACACTGCATAAAATGAAATCTGACCAAACCCAGAAATGGAACGGATTTTCATGTCACATAGGGAGAAAAATCTTTAAAAAACAGAATTCCTGCAAATTTAATGCAAATGGCCAAGACCTGAGATATTCTTTTTATAATGAAAGCATCTGCAATTCTCTATCTCACCCGATTTTGTTGTGGCAACCACACTGTAAAGGAGAGGAGCTTTAGCTGACAGCGTAGAATTCAACCTTGGGGTTACTTGTCTCTCACGGCGTAGGCTGTAGGGGAATTCCCCCTTTCCTCCTTTCTGAGCGAGGGAAGGTGCACAGGCACGGCTTCTATTCACACCTCTCCCTGCCCCACATTTAAAAGTGTAACCTATCGGCCAGTGACACATTCCTCAAAGCCATGCAAGGGAATCAGGACCACATCTGGGTTGTGATGCATTGTGCATTGGAAGATTCAGCAAGCAGTCCAATTTCAGCCAATAGGCAGTGATGAGGTGTGTATTTTTATGAGTTTCACAACCAGTTAAACAATGCGAAAACCATACTCACCAACATAATAACCAACTAACATTCTCTAGCATTAGATGAAAAGGTCAAACTTATGGAAGCAAGAGAAACTCAGAAGCTGTCAATGAGGAATGTTTAATATTCATTCATTGGTGATTTCTTCCATAAATACGTTATAGGGAAATCTATTTTAATAATCATAATAAAATCATGTAATTTTTGCTTTAATTTAATTACTTCTTTACTTAAATTAATTCACTAGTTTCAGAATGGAAATATCAATACCTTAAGTGCCATTAAATGGACAACCCTGCATAAAACGGAAATCTCCCTAAACCGGAACTTTTTATTGTCACAATCGATTCTGACTTAGATTTTATTGCACTATGCCCAAGGATGAAAGAACCAGATAATTGTGTGTTTAAAAGTTTCTTTTGGTTTAGAACATGCATGGTATTAATTTTTAACACATGAAACTGTTTTAAAACACTTTAAAGAATTAGTCACCACATTCAGCTTGTGAGAAAGTAGAACAGCTGTTCTCAGATTATGAAACAAAAGAAATAGCAAGTGCACATGCAGCCTCCAACACACCTTCTACTGAAACTTATATTACCATCACTCGAAAATGATGGGTTCCTGGCTCTTAAAAGCAGATTTTCATATTCCCAATGGGATGAGTTACAGTTCTTATTATTCTTATAAATTTCTTATGATAAGAATGTAAGATTTCCAAAGTGATATTATTGAAAGATGATAAGTACCTTCATTTAGAAAGCTTGTCATTAATCACTATACTGAAATCATAATTTTATATTCATCTTCTGGAGGATTCTAAATTGTTGAAATTGTGCTATATTTAATACTTCTGATTCTGTGTTTTGTGCATCACAAATAACAATTTGCATTCAAAGAAATTTTTTCTGAACAATTGGTTTTGTTAAAATACGAGCTCACAGTTTTTACAATATGATTTACCTGGTTCAAGGTTTCATAATTTACATTAATAATAGTAAGCTTGAATTCATTTTTATTATTATAAGAAGAAGTAGCAAAGTTTCATCCAATTCCAGACTATCAATAAACATTCAGACATCAACACTAACAACATTGTTTCCTCCCTTTGCATCAACCTGTAACACTCCAGGAGGTCAGGCAAGTTCAGATGTTGCCTCTCTTCATGTCATATACTGAGAAAAGGCCCTTATGAGAGTTTAGAGCTATAACATGCTTTACTTACACTTGTCACATAAACATTGTGTTTAGGTAGGCGAATTAAGATACTGTCTGCCCCACACACACACCCCAAACTTTTTTTCAAGAAAATGACACTTTTATAGAACATTAGAACATGAATTTGTTTTTGAAGAGATGTTCATGGGAACTAACTAAATGGGAATTCTCATTTGGAATGTGGTATGATCAATGTCACAAATGTTATAATTTGAGTACAATTACCCCCTCCTTTCCTTCCATTCCTTCCTCCTCCAGTCCCCAAAAAATTGGAACCATGGGGAGTGGGCATGGCTACCCCCTCCACTGTAATCTGTTATGCCTAACCTAAACATTTCCTCCCTTCACAAGCTGCCACTGTAATGCATATTCATGCATATACCAACCTTTAGTTCATACTTCATTTTATTCACTTGTAACTCCAGAGCCCATCTCATTGAATTCTCTTCTCGAAGTTTTTGCTCAAGTTCTACCACCTGAGGAAATAAATAGGCACATTACTATGAGAAGTATTATACATTTTGGTTATTTATTTATTAACACAAACAAATTGTAATAATGTTTATTAGACTGATGCTCAAGGTTGTAACAAATACAAAAATAACTCTAATATTTTATACTGAACATTCAGGAATCTAATCAAATGTTATGCATCCTTACTCTTCTCTGAAATTCAGTCAAAGTGTGATCAAATCGCAAAGGACTGACTGGAGCACTTGTAAGAAGAACATGTCTGCTACTGCCACTGGTACCGCTGCAACAACTATTTGTTGTACTGCTCAAATTGCCTTGTTTTACCAAATTAGCATCCATTTTACTTCCTTTTTTGACATCCCCCAACTTATTGCGTAATATCTGTACTTCTGCTTTTAATTTTTTCATGCTCTGTTGATTGCGACGGCCTTTCTCACGTTCTTGTTGAAGTTCTCTCTGTAAATCTAGGCTTGTAGGGCCTATCATTGTATTTGTAGCTGCATCCTACATTAGAAATAACATCACACAATATTTTCTAAAATCATTACACAGATGCTCACATGCACTGCTTCAAAAAATGCACTCACCCTACTAGGCCATGTACTAGTTCTGCCACACATTTCCAAAGGAACATGCCTTTGTTCCATACCATCACTTCCGCAACCATGAGTATACCTTGGGAAGGAACGAAAGGAAGAAGGAAAATTGGATAAATCAGTGAGAGCTGATAATTTTTTTGATGGGGATTTTTCTGCATAATGAAGAGATAACTTTTCTTTCTCTTCATCTTGTAAATGTTCTTTGATGGGTTTCTCCCTATAACCTCCATCTGTGAGACTACATCCCTCTTCTGAATGAAAGTCATGAGTACTACTAGTTACATTAATTACATCAAGATTATCAACAGTGTAGTTTCGGTTCCGTAACAATGTCTTGTATTTATCTGTTTCTGATATTTGCTCACAGCCATTCACAACATTACAATTCCAAACTACTGTGTGACAATCTTTCTCAGAATTCTTTAATAGTTTGCGACTTCCTTTATCATTATCTTTAGATACACATTTATCACTGTTTCTTTCACTGCCTTTATGCGAGTGGATACAACTTCGGCAACCAGCACTATCATTACTTTGTTTCCCATTTTTTAGACCGTATTCTTTGGGATGGGCTGCTGTATTTTTGCATGTAAACTCTGTTTCTCTGTTTCTTGGATCGATTAGGTACTGCAAACTGAAAGGAACAACATCAGCATCATCTTTAGATGGAGGAGACTGAAGGTCTCTACTCAACACATTATCTGAAATTATATCTCTTTTATTATCAATATTTTCAGCCACTACATTACATTCAGGTATGCAATTTGATGAACATGCCTCTTGTGATGTCATTGCTGCTGGATTTTCTCTTCCTAATTTTGATTTACAGCAAGCTTTATCTTCCTCTTTGTCATCGATTTCCTTATCACTGTCAGATGTTACAGATGCTGCCAGAATTTCACACCCAATATCCTCTTCAGAATCCAAAGACCTTGAACAATACAGAGATGCTCCACTCTGATTATTAGATGCATCTACTTCCCCAGACAAAGAACTTAGTTCTTGATGAGGAGGATAACAATGTGTTGCAGCATCAGTTTTTTGAATTACTAGTTGACTTTTCAATGCTTGATTTTCCTTGTGCAGCTGACATATAACATCTGAAAACTTTCTGAATGCATCAGATACAATACTGTGAGAATCCTGAAGTTTCTCCACTTGACACATAAGGTACATCTCATCTACCATACTGCTTTCATTGGGAAATTTTATATCTTTTATTTGAGCTATCCCACTCAATTCTAGCTCAAGACGAGCAAGTTGCTTCTTTACACATTCCAACTCTGATTTAATAGATTCATTTTCATTAATAATGTCAGCAATTTCCTCATCAGAAGTCTGAGAAGATTTGGAAAATTTAGAAACCCTATAAGTATCTAATTCTTGTTCTAGGAGATCATTTTTTATTTTATAATCTTTATTTTCTTGCTTCAATCTTTCTACTATATCCATACGATCCATTTCTTCCAATTCTCTTTGTAAGGAAGAAATATCTAGTTTCAGTCGTTCATTTTCATTTCTAAATTTATCAACTTTTTTGACAGTTTCATTGTACAATTTAGTTATTGCTTCAATATCATCATTTAGGAACTTATTTTGCTCAACTATTGTATCAAATGCAATTTGTTTTTCAGAAGCAGCAGATTTTTCATTTTGCTTGCTCTGAATATCCTCCAACTGATTTTTTAATGATTTGTTTTCCTTAAGAAGCTGATCAATTACAGCTACAGAGCTGGCATACATTGAAATGCCAGATTCTT